GGCCCTGCAGGCCAGGTGGGGTGCAGCCGGGTCAGGACCCCGCCCGAAGCCTGGCCGCCGGACTCGCCAACCCTCCGGGTGGGCCGGCCTCCCGGCCTCCCGCAGCTGGCCCAGGGGTTTCCATGGAGAGGCCGTGTTTACCAGCCCAGGGCCTGGCAGCTGCACGTGCTGCGGGGAGAGCTGGCTGGTGAGAGGCGGGGTTCCAGTCCGCCCTCCCGGGCCAGCGGGCCCCCTGGCCTTGGGCAGTGACCGGTGTGGCTTTGGCCCCTGGACGAAGTGACAGTGAGACTATAGACACTTTTTTTTTTTTTTCTTGATGCTTGTACTGAGGCTTGAGCTCAGGACCTGGGTGCTGGCCTTTGGCTTTTTCACTCAAGGCTGGTGCCTCACTACGTTGAGCCACAGCTCCACTTCTGGCTTTTTGCAGTTAGTTGGAGATAAGAGGCTCAGCCTTCCCAGGCTGACTTCAAACTGGGATCCTCAGAACTCAGCCTCCAGGTAGCTAGTAGGAGTACAGGCTGAAGCCTGAACATTTCTGGTGTTTTCACTTGCTCAGCAATCACCCTGAATACCATCCATGGGCCCAGCCCTCCCCAGGAAGTCCCCAGAGTAGAGATGGATGGAGCCAGGTAGGGAACGGGACTGAGCATTTGATGGCTGGGCCAGGCTTATGGTGTGCAGGATTCTGGAAGCTATTCCCCCTCCTCCCCACCAGAGGCAGGTGGAGCGGGGGGGGGGGGGGGGGGGGGGGGGGGGGGGGGGGGAGGAACCTCAGACTCGGGGACAGAAGAGATGACAGAGCAGAAGAGTCTGAGGGTGGCCACACAAGGAGGAATGGGGTACCCCTAGGAGCAAGAGAGAAGTTGTCACATCCTGGGGCCATGGCCAGCTAAGTCCAGGCATCCTGAGAGTGAATCTTTCTGGACTCCTGGTCGTACCTGCCTTGCACAAGCACTGGGAGGAATTGTGGTGTGACAGGTGGGTCACGACAGGCTGCTTTGTGTAGTTGCCTGCTTCCTCAGGCCAACCTCTAGGGGTCTGGCCTGTGTCCACTGCCTCTGCGGTCCTTCTGCTGTCTTCGGATGGCCGGGGCCTCCTCCCCTGCCAGGAGGGCTCGTGGAGGTGCTGGATGGGTGTCTGGGCTGACTCGGCTCTGCCGCACGGTGGGTGCCATGGTTTCACGGTGTCTTCCCACCTCTCACCCCCTTCAGGACTTCGTTCACCATGAAAGGCTCGAGGACTGTCAGCAGGACCCCTGACAGCAACTCGGCCTGTGTGGAGCTTAGTCTGACCGGCCTCCCTCCCCCCATGTCCCAGCGCCCCGGCAGCGCCTCCACCGCCAAGCCCATCGTCCGGTCCATCTCCGTGGCCACGGGCAGCGAGCCCAGGAGGAGGGCGCTGGTGAGTGGGGGGCACCAGAAAGTTGTCACTGGGTGGCCCCTGAGCCCGCATGCAGCTCCATACCTGAGCACTTGTCATCCTGGGGCAGGAAGGCTCTGGGCCTCGCATGCCTGGAGCTTACAAGGTGGTCAGGCCAGTTGTGCGGCCTGGGGCAAGTTCGCATCCATCCAGCACCCAGCCCTGTCCCTTCTGCTCCACTGCCCTTTGGACTCGTTTGGATCCTCGAGAAATTAATTGGCCTCAGGAGGGAGATGAGCAGTGTGGCCTCAGAGAAAGGTGGAGGCTGACCGGTGGGCGCGGTGGGTATGGGGGGAGCTTTGGAGCTGGACCGAGTTGCTTTTCCTCTGCACACCTTTGCAGGGCAGGTGAAGCGGGCTGGGGCTTGTCCCTCACAGGTCAGTGGCCGAGGTTAGAGGCCAGCATGGACTGATGTGCACACACGCACACACACACCCGTGTCATCTGTGCTTGCAGGCAGTCTCCAGGCGAGACTGGGGGAGCAGGTGCTTGAGTCTGGCCTGCATATCCAGACCGGGAGGATTGGCTTGGCTGCCACAGCTGACCTAGCTTCCCACCTGGGAGGAGGCCAGCTGCGTCCTTCCCAGAGGGTCGAGGCCACGGCTCCCTCCCTTCTCCCTGGAAATCCACTCCTGCGTCCCACGGAGTGGCCACAGACTTGGAGCTGACTTCCTCAGCAGGAATGGCGTCCAGATAAGTTCCTCAAGCATGGGACCAGTCACCAGTTTTGCCATGGCCACTGCCCTAGCAGTGGGATGACCAACTTAGGCCAGCGGCCCTTACCACGCCCCCTCCATAACCCAGTCTTGCTCTTGAGTCACTGACCACTCTCCCTGGCCTGGATCCCTGGATCCCTTTCTCTGAAGCTCTAGGAGGGAGGGGTAGGCCCAGGTGCTGATGCCCTGGCACAGACGGTTGCTGGCCTTGCTGGTGGGTGGGGAAGACGGTTCACTGGCTGGGCGTCTCCCCTGCTGCCCAGTGCTCTGTCACTGAATGTGCAGTCAAAGCCAAGAAGCATTGACCACATTTCCTCGACGGTGCTGCTGCCCTCTCCCAGGACTGCCTGGGAAGCCGACAGGATCTCTTCTAATCAGAATGTTCCAGAAGTTCCCTTTAAGATGGCCTCACCTGTGTGGCACACCTGGCAGATGCCTGGCCTGTGGCTCACACCCGTAATCCTAGCTACTCAGGAGGCTGAGATCTGAGGATTGCAGTTCAAAGCCAACCTGAGCAGGAAAGCTTGTGAGATTCTTAGCTCCAAAACCAGAATAGCCAGAGGTAGAGCTGTGGCTTAAGTGGAAGAGCACTGGCCTTGAGCACAGAAGCTTAGGCCCTGATTTCAAGCTCCAGGACCAGCATAAAAATAAAAAGTGAGCAAGACGCTGGTGGCTCATGCCTATAATCCTAGCTACTCAGAAGACTGAGATCTGAGCATGGCAGTTCAAAGCCAGCTGGGCAGGAATCTCAGTGAGACCCTTTTTCTCTAACTACTGGAAAACTGGAAGTGGGTGCTGTGGCTCGAAGTAGCAGAGTGCCAGCATTGAACAAAAAGCTCAGGGACAGAGCCTAGGCCTTGTGTTCAAACCCCACAACTCACAAAACAAAGCCCTGTTCCCTGGCCTGAAGTTACTCTGAGCAGTTCCATTCTCCTGTCCCTGCCACCGCTTGATCTGTGGAGAGTTTGCTGGCCCTGGGCTGCTGGCGCTCTCTCCTGGTGCATGTGGGGTCTTCTCCCTCGCCAGCGTCCTGGTGTTCCACTCTGCCCCTCATCTCCAGCCCTTTGTCCTGAGGTTCCCGGTCTGGGCCGTGAGCTGTACTCACTGCTGGTTTTCTGGCTTATGGGACATGGCATCAGTGCCAGCCCTCAAGGGTCCTGCTTCCCTGCCCGGGCTTGGCGCCCTCCTGGTCTCCTTGTCGCTGAATTTCTCGCTCCATTTCCATTCCCCGTGAAGGAGCAAGGTCTTTAAATCCCAAGAGCGCAGCTCATGAGTGGAGCAGATGCCACCACAAGTGTATCCGGCGTGAGCCAGCTGCGTCCCCACGCTGTCCTCACTGATGGCACTCTGCCCTGTGCACAGATAAGCTGGGTGTTCATGGCCCCAGACTTTGTTGACCTTCTGACCACTTCTTTTCCACCTGGCACACTCCACAGCCCACCACCCCCGCCGCCATGCACTTCATGTGGCAGCCGGCTGCCATCTTGTTTTGGCATTTCAATAATTCTGTGAACATGGCTATAAGTAGGTCAGGCAGATGGCCACTGGATAGCAGGCCTCCCTCCTACCTCCCCCGGTGCACCCCCCTCCTGCCCCCGGCGCCGGTGGCTGCTCTGCTGCTCAGTGTCCCGTCCCTCCTGACGTTCTGGGTGTGTGCAGACCTTCCCCTGTGGGTCACATCCTGCCCTGTTTGGGGCATGCTGCTGCCGGCCTCTCAGCTGCCGGGTAGGGTAGCAGTCCTGTGCGGATGGACCATAGGTTGGTCAGTGCTGAGCAGTGGCACCACCCGTGTCTGCCCTTGCACACACGCCCTGGTCATAGCCGTGGACAGCTTCACAGTGCTGTCCGTGGTGAGGGGCCAGGCCGGACCCCACAGGCCAGCAGGGTTTCCAACCTCCGCCCTCGGTGTGTAGGAAAGACGCCTGATTGACCTACTCTTTTCTTCTCTTTTTTTCTGTGCTGGTCCTGAGGCTTGAACTCAGGCCCAAGCACTGTCCCTAAACTCAAGGCTAGCACTCTACCAGTTGAGCCACAGCTCCACTTCTAGCTTTTGGGAGGAGTTAATAGGAGATAAGCATCTCATGGGGCCTTCCTGTCTGAGCTGGCTTCTATGCTCAGATCTCAGCCTCCTGAGTAGCTGGGATTACAGGCAGGAGCCACCTACGCTTGGCATCTTTCTTCCCACCCCCATCATCCTCTTTTGAGGTGAAGGGGGGAGGTCTCACCTGCTTCCCAGGCTGGTCTTGAATTCACGGCCTCAGTGAGCGAGTGGAGTGACATCAGAGTTGATGAAGCCCAGGCCCTGCCCTACCTAGGCCTCCGCCTCAAGCCGCTACCTCCAGCCTCCACTGCAGTCTCCAGCCTTGCTTAGTAGCTCTCCACACGGTTTCCTGTTTAAGATGAAGGTGTGGCTATGTTGTCCAGGCAGGCCTCAGCCATCCTCCTGTGAGCTTCCTGAGCAGCCAGGCCTGCGGGCGCGGGTCGGGTTCTTTTCCTCTTTAGGAGCCATCCACCGTTCCTTTTCTGTTGAAGTGCGGTTTGTATTATAGACGGAAGCCAGGCTTCCCAGGCTGTGATCCTGCTCCGTGCTGCCCCATGCTCCCTTTCCATTTTGATGCTAAGCCACAGCTTTCAGCTGTAGACCCGCCCCCCGCCCCCAGCGCCTCCTGGCTTGAAGCACACAGGTTCGTTCTCAGAACATGGCCACGGCCACCCTCAGATCTGCAGCCGGTGGCAGCCTGGAGCTCCAGGACTGACGGGGGGGGGGGGCACTCTACCGCAGGGAGTGGCGCCGATGAGACGGTGCAGGCAGGAGCCTGGGCTGGACGGCTCTGCTTTTCCAGCCCCAGGGGTGACAGTGCACGGGAGCATTGCCAGTCTGGCCAGAGCTCAGCCAGGCTTGCACACGGCACAGTGGGTGTCCACGTGGCCCGGGCACGGCACGGCCACACGCTTGCCGTAAGTCATGCCGTTAGATTACCCCCAGGTAAGAAGCATCCTGGGTCTGTCAGGCATTCCTTCCCACGGGTGCCTGCTGCTTCTCCTGCCTGGTGGGGTCCCCAGTCCCCCCTTCCCATGCTTTTCCCAGCATATCTGTCTCAGGGGTGGGGCCTGTGACACAGGAATAAAGACAGTGGGGCCCACAGTCCCCAGCTCCCCCCCTTGATCTACTCCCCTCAAAGTCCCTGCACAGTGTCCACGCTCTGTCCCCGCCCCCCAGCCCAATCCACAGCGGGATGCTGGCCTTGGGCTCCCCGCTCTCAGTCCAATCTGGGGTTCATAGGACTCACTGCCCAACGTCTCCAGCCAGGGAGACTGTTGGTGTTGGCATTGAGCACTAGGTGGTCTCAGCCTCTCGGCCAGCTGGCCAGCCCCGTCTGCCTGTCCTCGTGGGTGGGCTGCACACCTGCTCGTGTGACTTTGAGGCCCTGGTTCTGCTGCAGAGAGCGCTTCTAGGACCAGCTGCCTGGGACGGGACCGTGTGTGTCCAGCCTTTGTTTTGTCCTTGCTTTGAGGGTCTCTTTTTTTGTTGTTGTTGTTGTTTAAGATTTTTTTGGTTGGTTGGTTTTGTGGGTTGTGGGGCCTGGGACGGGACCGTGTGTGTCCAGCCTTTGTTTTGTCCTTGCTTTGAGGGTCTCTTTTTTTGTTGTTGTTGTTTAAGATTTTTTTGGTTGGTTGTTTTTGTGGGTTGTGGGGCCTGGGTGCCGTCCCTCAGCTCTTCAGCTCAAGGCTAGCACTCTACCACTTGAGCCACAGCGCCACTTCCGGCTTTTTCTGCTTATGTGGTGCTGAGGAATCAGACCCAGGGCCTCATGCATACAAGGCAAGCACTCTACACCGAGCCACCTTCCTAGCCCCTTGTTTGCTTTTTTTTAAGAAACCAAGGAGTCTTGCCAGGTGCCAGTGGCTCATGCCTGTCATCCTAGCTACTCAGGAGGCTGAGAGCTGAGGATTGCAATTCAAACCCAGCCAGGACAGGAAACTTCATGAGACTCTTATCTCCAATAAACCACCATAAAACTGCAAGTGGCACTGTGGCTCAAGTGGTAGAGCGCTTGCCTTGAGCTGAAGAGCTGAGAGACAGCGCCCAGGCCAAGAGTTCAACCCCCACGACCGACCAAAAGTAAAGAAAGAAACCGGGCTGGGAAGGTGGCTCAGTGGTAGAGCGCTAGCCTTGAGCTGAAGAGCTGAGGGACAGCGCCCAGGCCCTGAGTTCAGGCCCCACGACCAGACCCAAAAGAAAAGAAAGAAACCAGGGAGACTTAAGGCCTCCCTGGGTAGGCATGGGCGGCACAGGCTGTTCCGGTGATGGTGAAGTGGTCTCCTGACGAGGTTCCAGGCTGTTTCCTGCAGAATTCTGAGCCCTTTCCCCAAAATGTGTGGGGAAATGTTTAGAGGCGACAGAAAAGTTTGGAGAGTTGTCTAATGTGGGCTGCACTACTCCCCAGCCTGCTGCCGGCTGACACTCCTCGGCGCTGCCTTCCTTCCTCGCCACACAGCCCCTCCTGCATCCCAGACCTGCTTCCAGGGACAGGCTCTCCCCGTCCCGTGCAGCTCCGTCTCCCCACAGAAGTATTGGGAACACTCGTACCCGGGCCTCTGTTAGCCCAGGTGGGCCTGGAACTCAATACTGCTGCTGTCTCCCAGGTCAGGATTAGAGATGGGCGTCTCCATGCCCAGCCTCAGGGCATCTCATTGCATCTCTAGCTGCCTCACTTCACCTTTGTTCTCTGGATGCTGTGAGAGGCGGGACCACAGTGACACCTGGGATGCAGAGTGGTGGTGGCAGCCGTGTCTGTCCTCCCTTGTCATGTGACAACGTAGCAGTGACCAATGCTTCCCAGCCGGTCTCATGCTGCCTCCCTAGCCTCCCCTCCGTGCAGGACCAAGGGACTCCCCATTTTGTGCAGGACCATGACAAGGCTCTCAGGTCTGAGCCCTGACCTCGGCTGCCTTCCTAAGACTTGGCCAGTCCCTAGCAAGCTGACCAGGGTCTGAGTTCTGGCACTGATGGGTGTATTCCCTGCTTTCTGTAGGAGGCCTCCGGGCCTGGAGCTTCTCGGGCCATCAACAATCTTCGCAGATCCAACAGCACCACGCAGGTCAATCAGCCATGGACTGGCTCTCCCAGGTGACCCTGTGCTCCTCTCCCCCCTCCTTCAGTCCTTCCAGCTCCAAGAGCAGTGGCCTCGCTGAGCAGTGAGGCCTGGGGACCGTCATGGTGCCCTGTCCTTGTGTGGCACTCTGCCCTCTTGTGCATGGAGGGGTGGGACAGCCAGCAACAGCGGTCTGTCCTGTCATATGCTGAAGCCTGAGCCCTGGCCACAGCTCCCCACTTCCTGTGCTGCCTCTGGGATCCCAGGTGGGTGGGTGGAGTGGGCAGGGCTGCTAGAGGCCCACTGGTCTTCAGCCTTTCTACCTACCTTCAGTATTAACCCAGTGTTGGAGAGGTGTCAGCATCGTGGCAGTTCAGAGTCCTCCCTGGGGGTCTGCCCGTCCTCACCAACAGGAGGAGGGAGCCTTCCTGGGGCCCTAGTGCTGAGTGTGTGCGTGAGTGCCACAGGGAGCACTGGGCTGGTGGTGTGGATCCATGATAGCTACAGGGCCACGCTGCGTCTGGTACATGGGTCAGTTTTCATAGTCACGGGACTGCTGTGATTGATGGCGTGGATCTGTTATCATAGCCATAGGGGACTGCTGTGGCTGGGCGCAGTGACAACGTGCCTGTCAGCCCAGTAGCACTAGGAAACAGGTAGGACCACAGCCCAGGCCTGAAGTGAAACCCCACTGCAAAGTTAACTAAGGAACTTGTGGCGTGGCTCAAGGGATAGAACACCTGCCTCCAAGTGTGAGGGTCAGCAAGGGCAGGACTCAAGCCAGGGCGGTGCCCTGCAGAGGAAGCCACATCCAGAGCCCCCAGGCATGGAAGGCGTCGGGGAGCCAGGGAGACCACCGAGTCCCTGACCTCCACTCTGTGCTCGAGTGGCATCTGAGAACTGCTCGAACCCTGGCACCAGGAAATGATGGAAGGTATTGCCACGTGCTGTGGCCACTCAGGAGGCGTAGGTCAGGGGGATGACAGTTTGCGATGAGCCTGGGTAAAAAGCGAGTGAGACCCCCATCTTGGCAGATGAGCCAGACATATTGCCAAGGATCTGTAATCTCAGTAGGAGGCATAGGAGGATTGTGGTCTGAGCCCAGCCCCAAGCATTTTATCTGGAAAGGGGTGCCAGTTGTGTTTTGTTTGCTTTTTTTTTTTGCCAGTCCTGGGCCTTGAACTCAGGGCCTGGGTTCTGTGCTTGAGTCTTTTTGCTCAAGGTAGTACTCTACCACTTGAGCCACACAGCCACTACCAGCTTTTTTCTATTTATGTGGCACTGGGGAATTGAACCCAAGGATTCATGCAAGCTAGGTAAGCACTCTACCACTAAGCCACATTCTAAGCCTCTTGTTTGTATTTTGGTATAATTGCCTTATAGAGATAGTTAAAAAGTACAGTTTAAAATTGATTTAAAATTTATAGAACCCAAGGCCTACTGCATGCTGGACAAGCACTCCACCTCTGATCCTCACCTCAAGCCTAGATCAGTGATCCTCAGTACACTCACAGCTGTGATCCTCAGTACACCCACATCACAGTGAGCCTCAGTCCACCAAAGCCCAATGAGCCTCAGTCCACCCACAGCTCAGTCATCCTCAGTCCACCCACAGCTCAGTCATCCTCAGTACACTCACAGCTCAGTGATCCTCAGTACACCCACAGCACAGTGATCCTCAGTACACCCACAGCTCAGTCATCCTCAGTACACTCACAGCTTAGTGATCCTCAGTACACCCACAGCACAGTGATCCTCAGTACACCCACAGCACAGTCATCCTCAGTACACCCACAGCACAGTCATCCTCAGTACACCCACAGCACAGTCATCCTCAGTACACCCACAGCCCAGTCATCCTCAGTACACCCACAGCACAGTGATCCTCAGTACACTCACAGCTCAGTGATCCTCAGTACACCTACAGCTCAGTGATCCTCAGTACACCCACAGCTGTGACCCTCAGTACACCCACAGCCCAGTGATCCTCAGTACACCAACAGCTGTGATCCTCAGTACACCAACAGCTCAGTCATCCTCAGTCCACCCACAGCACAGTGATCCTCAGTACACCCACAGCCCAGTGATCCTCAGTACACCAACAGCTCAGTCATCCTCAGTCCACCCACAGCACAGTGATCCTCAGTACACCCACAGCTCAGTGATCCTCAGTACACCCACAGCCCAGTGATCCTCAGTACACCCACAGCTGTGATCCTCAGTACACCCACAGCTCACTGATCCTCAGTATACCCACAGCTCAGTCATCCTCAGTACACCCACAGCACAGTGATCCTCAGTACACCCACAGCCCAGTGATCCTCAGTACACCCACAGCTGTGATCCTCAGTACCCCTGCAGCTCAGTCATCCTCAGTACACCCACAGCCCAGTGATCCTCAGTACACCCACAGCCCAGTGATCCTCAGTACACCCACAGCTCAGTCATCCTCAGTCCACCCACAGCACAGTCATCCTCAGTACACCCACAGCTCAGTCATCCTCAGTACACCCACAGCCCAGTGATCCTCAGTACACTCACAGCTCAGTCATCCTCAGTACACCCACAGCTCAGTCATCCTCAGTCCACCCACAGCACACTGATCCTCAGTACACTCACAGCCCAGTGATCCTCAGTACACCCACAGCTGTGATCCTCAGTAGACCCACAGCCCAGTGATCCTCAGTACACTCACAGCTCAGTCATCCTCAGTACACCTAAAGCTCAGTCATCCTCAGTACACCCACAGCCCAGTGATCCTCAGTACACTCACAGCTCAGTCATCCTCAGTACACCCACAGCTGTGATCCTCAGTAGACCCACAGCCTGATCCTCAGTACACCCACAGCCCACTCAGTACACTCACAGCTCAGTCATCCTCAGTCCACCCACAGCACACTGATCCTCAGTACACTCACAGCCCAGTGATCCTCAGTACACCCACAGCACAGTGATCCTCAGTACACCTACAGCTCAGTGATCCTCAGTACACCTAAAGCTCAGTGATCCTCAGTACACCCACAGCTGTGATCCTCAGTACACCCACAGCTGTGATCCTCAGTACACCCACAGCCCAGTGATCCTCAGTACACCAACAGCTGTGATCCTCAGTACACCAACAGCTCAGTCATCCTCAGTACACTCACAGCTGTGATCCTCAGTAGACCCACAGCCCAGTGATCCTCAGTACACTCACAGCTCAGTCATCCTCAGTACACCCACAGCTCAGTCATCCTCACTCAGTAGACCCACAGCTCAGTCATCCTCAGTACACCCACAGCTCAGTGATCCTCAGTACACCCACAGCCCAGTGATCCTCAGTACACTCACAGCTCAGTCATCCTCAGTCCACCCACAGCACACTGATCCTCAGTACACTCACAGCCCAGTGATCCTCAGTACACCCACAGCCCAGTGATCCTCAGTACACCTACAGCTCAGTGATCCTCCGTACACCCACAGCTGTGATCCTCAGTACACCAACAGCTGTGATCCTCAGTACACCAACAGCTCAGTCATCCTCAGTCCACCCACAGCCCAGTGATCCTCAGTACACTCACAGCCCAGTGATCCTCAGTACACTCACAGCCCAGTGATCCTCAGTACACTCACAGCTCAGTCATCCTCAGTAGACCCACAGCCCAGTGATCCTCAGTACACTCACAGCTCAGTCATCCTCAGTACACCCGTAGCTCAGTCATCCTCAGTACACCCACAGCTCTGTAACTGTCACCACAATCAAAATCAGAAACTTCACCAGGGGGCGGGGGCTCATGCCTGCAGTCCTAGCTGCTCAGGAGGCTGAGACCTGAGGATCACAGTTCAAAGCCAGTCTGGACAGGAAAGTCCATGAGACCTTTTATCTCCCATTCATCATAGAAAAAGCCAGGAGTGGTGATGAGGCTCAAGTGGTGGAGTGCTAGCCTTGAGCAAAAGGACTTACGGGAGTTCTAGCCCCCAGGACTAGCAAGAATAAGTAAAGAAAAAAAAATTAGAAGCCTCTGGTCTCCCCATATTTGTTGAGTCACCCGTCTCCTCCCCAGCCCGCTATGGGTTTGCCTGTTTTGCATTTGCTGAAGCTGGGATTGCGTGCATGTGGCCTTCAGGTTGTAGCCTCTGTGCTGAGGCTTCCATGCCTGTCCTTGGACAGTACATCCCACTTGTGAGCTCCCGTGGTGTGGCGTGTGGTGTTCCTCGTGTTCATAGCCAGTAACATGCTTCCACATGGCCGGGCTTCCTGCCGGGCTGCCTGGCACGTGGTCTCGCCTCCGAGCAGGTTGACATTGGGACACCCAGGGTGGCCCGTCACCAGCAGTGCTTGCTCGGTCCCTCTGAGCTGCAGGCCCTGTGGCTCTGTCCACAAGGGTGGACCCTCCACCAAGGCAGCCCTGCCCGGTTCATTTGTCAGAGCTAAGAAATATTTGTTGTTGTTGTTGTTTTTGGTCGTGGGGCCTGAACTATGGGCCTGGGCCTGAGCGCTGTCCCTCAGCTCTTCAGCTCAAGGCAAGTGCTCTATCACTTGAGCCACAGCACCATTTCCAGTTTTCTGGTGGTTCATTGGAGACCTGCCCGGGCTGGCTTTGAACCTTGATCCTCAGATCTCAGCCTCCTGAGTAGCTAGGATGACAGGGGTGAGCTACTGGCGCCTGGCTAGAAATAATGTTTTAAACTGGGCTGGGATGAGAATCACTTGATGGGGTCACCACCACCCCCCTTTAAAACATGGCTCACTTTCCCTTCACTTGACTTAGTTGCCCTCCCTTGGACAGGTCAGCAGAGCCCACCGACTTCCTGGCACTCTTTGAGGGCAGCACCAGTGAGAGGAGGGTGGGCAGCAAGGCGTGTGGCGAGCAGGGGGCCACGTGGAATGTTCTGGTAAGCGGGCGCGCGCAGCGGCCCCTAGTCCTGGTGGTCACTACATGTTCATTTGCTGGTGGGAGAAGCTATGGGAAAGGGGGCTGCAGGGTGGGGCTGTTGGGGAGGGGGGCACCTGAAGGAGTGGGGGCTGCCTGACAAGGGCCTGCTGTTGGGTGAGTGGCAAGTGATCAGGGCTCGGGTGTCTGGGACTCACAGGATGACCAGCCCAGGAGCCTCACCTTGCCAGCCAGCGGCCCAGGTTCTAGGTCCCCGGCAGGCCCACGGAGGAAAGAAAGCATCCTGGCACCCAACTTCACTGCCAACAACAGGTAGAGCAGCCCCGCGGGGGCTGGGAGGCTGAGCACCAGAACCTGCATTGCTGTCTGTCGTGGCCAGGTCAGGAGCGGGGCAGGCAGGAAGGAGTGGCTGTCTTTTCCCAGGGCTTCAGGCTGTGGGGCCCCCACAGTAGCATATGCTTTCCAAGCAAGAATCGTGGAGGTTGAGCTTCGAGGCTCCAGGTGCCTGGAGGGGACCGTGCCACCTGGGATCCCCGAGTCCACCCCAAGGCTGGGCCTGCACTGGGTGCTGGGAGCCCAGCTTGCCAAGGACATGACAGATCCCAGAGCACGGCTGGGAGGCCCGGCCAGGCCGGGTGCTAGAGAGCCTCGGCCACAACCACCGACGGGCTGCAGGCCCCTCCACGGGCCCAGGAAAGGGCCCCTGCCTCAAGCCGGGCTTGGCCCCGAGCTGTGAGGGACAGGGTGCGTGGCTGGCGTCACAGTGCAGAGACAGGCTCTGCGCCAGGCCCGTGCTGCGCTCCATCCTCGTCCTCACCTGTCTCTGGCAGAAGCAACAAGGGGACCGTAGGCAACTGCGTCACCACCATGGTGCATAACCGCTACGCCCCCTCGGAGAGGCCGCCCCCCCTCAAGAGCTCCAACCAGACAGCCCCCTCCCTCAAGTGAGTCCACACACCCTGCCCAAGGGCCACAGGACCTGGGGGTGGGACCTGGCCCTGGGTGCCGGCTGGGCTCTGCCTGGGCGGGAGGCAGGAAGCAGACCCAGCAAGGCCAGGACTGAAGCCCAGGGCAGTGCCCTGCCGAGAAGCCACATCCAGACCCCCCAGGCATGGAAGGCATCAGGGAGCCAGGGAGACCGCCGAGTCCCTGTCCTCCACTCTGTGCTTGAGTGGCATCTGAGAACCACCAGATTGAAAAAATTAAAAGCACTGACCTAGGATCAGCACCTCGTGATGGGTGGCCCTGGCAACCGCGCAGTGGGTGGAGGGGCTGCTCGCACAGGCCCGGGGCCTCCAGCGTGGCGCATGGGCAGAGCCGTCCCTGGTGGTGAGCGCAGCTCCTCCCCTTCTGTGTCAGCAACATCATCAAAGCGGCGGCCAGTGAGGCTGGTGAGGGCAGCAGCTTCTCAGAGCCCCGGAAGAATAACTCGGGTGGTGTCCAGGAGGCCCGCAGCGCCACCGGGCTGCTCAGGCGGAAGGAGGTGACGGAGGAGGAGGCCGAGAGGTGCGTGACGTGGGAGACGAGACGCCCCTGGCGGGAGCTTCCCTGTACTGTGTCTCAGTGAAGCCAGAGAGACCCCACGTGAGAAGCACAGGGAGAAAAGGCAGAAAGGGAGCCAGACTGCAGAGTTGCTCTTTGATGCTGATGGGAACATTCTAGAACTAGTCTGTGCACAGAGCTCTGTAAATTTGCTAAAAAAAAGTCTTTAATTATATGCTTAAAATGGGTGAATTTTAGTGTGGAAGTTATACCTCAGTGAAACTGGTGATTAAGACACATTGAGAGAAAGAATGCAAAGCTGAGAGGAACAAAAGACCCCAGGCTGTGTCCTTGAGAGGAGCCCGGGGCACAGGGGCTGCTGCCGGGGCGGGCGCCTCCCGCCAGCTTCAGCCAGCCACCCGCGGTGAGGCCAGAGCCTCCCCTGTCCATGCCCAGGCGGTGCCCAGGCGACGGGCCTCTGGGGCAGGACAGGCCCCCCTGCAGCACGATGCCCCCCTGCCGTGGGCATGGGCATCGCAGGTCCTCTGTGGGTGACTTTGTGGTGGCCACACCCGCCAGGGCTGATGTTTTCTTGTTTACTCAGCTTCATTGGGTGTAATTCTGATAGTAAAATGCACCTGTTTATGAATGTGTGCAGTGGTGTCCACAGATTCGGCACCCCCAGGAGCCCCTGGCCCCTCTGTCCACCCCGTCCCTTGCCCTGGCCTAGTTGCTTATCTCAGGTCTCCCCTTTTCTGGGCTAGCTCTAGCCATGGTGCTCTGCTGGCCGGCCCCGGGGCTGCCCTTGGTTCCCAGGCAGCACACTGCTGCCAGCCTGTGGGCACCTGGGTTGTTTGTGCTTTGAAGGCCACCAGATGTGAGCAGACAGATGCTCCCTGGCAGCGCCTCCCATGGGAGGTGTGGGGTGTTAGCAGCGCCGACACAGAAGGGCTGAGGAGAGTGGCTGTCCAGCTGCCACCAGCTTCCCTCTGCTTGTCTGGACGCTGGCGTGCAAGTTCCTGCAGGTGCCTGGGGTCAGGGGACACCAAGCCGACCTGGGCCTGAGTCCTGTTCTCTGGGGCAGGTTTATCCTCCAGGTAAACCAGGCCGCCGTCACCATCCAGCGCTGGTACCGCCACCAGGTGCAGCGGCGCCAAGCAGGAGCCACAAGCCTTGAGCACCTGCTGGCCTCTAAACGAGAGGTCAGTATGAGGGTGTGAGCTGCCTCAGTTTCCCCCGCCCCAGCCCCCCCTCCCCCTGAGGTTGGGGTCAGAGTCCCTGGGGCCTGGCCATGTCCAGGTGGAGTTGCTAGGACAGTAGAAATGAGACCTTGAATTCCCTATAGGTGCACACCCCGCCTGTGCCACAACCCCCCACCCCGTCCCCCGCCTGTCCCTAGGGACCTGCCAGGTCTCAGGCATCAGGAGGAATAGCAGGCTCCCAGCCCTGGTGCAGAGATGTCTCCCCTGCAGTGCCGCCTCCACCACCTGGGGCTGGGGCTCAGCAGGCTCTTCTGGGGACACCTGGCTCGGTCCAGGGGCGCTGTCCGTCATACAGGTCTGTAGACCCCAGAGCTTCAGCTTTCTTGGCAGGAGCAGCGGCAGCAGCCAAGCAACAGGAGCTTCCTAGACCTGCACCGGCAGAAGGAGGTGGCGAGGAAGAAGGCGCGGGAGGAGAAGGCGCGCCAGGCCAGGCGCGCAGCCATTCAGGTGCCTGAGCAGGACCCGGCAGCCCCGGGCGGCCCTGAGTCTGACTGTGATGCCCCGGGACATTGGGGCCCTGGGTAGCTGGCTTTCCCAAGGCCTGGGACCCAGCCTTTTCTGTGCTGGCAGGAACTGCAGCAGAAGCGAGCCCAAAAGTCAGGAGAGGCTGAGTGTGGAGGGCCCAAGGACCACCGGGAGGCCCGGGCGCTGGGGCAGCCGTGGCCCACACAGGAGCCACCCCCCATGCCAGGCAGCGCGTGCCAGGTCCTCAAGGCCAACAACGCTGGTGAGCAGCTCTCGGCCCACCCAGCCTGGTCCTGAGGGTCCAGCATGGCCGGGGGCAGCTTCCACCCATGGGTCTGGGGCCTAGGTTCCCCGTCCGCAGACTTCCCGGTTCTGGTAGGGGGGGGCCTTGAGAGAGCCCAGGCCTTGACATGCAGTCCTGGCCTTGGCACCCAGAGTAGAGGCCCAGAGCTCAGGGCCCCCCTCTGCCCCACCTCGCACCCAGGACTACGGAGTTGTACCCACCTGTATGCCCACGACTTCCTCCTGGGCTCTTCCAGACTCAGGGCAAAGCCCTGGGTGGGTGACACCCTGTTTTGTCCTGTAGGTACCAGTGTGTGCCCAGCAGCCCCCAGAGACCCCTCCCCGCCCGCCTCCCCCCCTGACTCTTCTCCAGAGCCCCGGCTGTCTCCGGAGGACAAGCCACAGGCCTGGGCGTCACCAGTGTCCCATCCCGCCCAAGACACGTTAGCCCCAGAGGTGGGTCTGGCAGGCCTTTGTCCTGTCCCCTCCTTGGCCATGGGGTCCCAGAGGGCTCTGCCTCTGATGGGGGCTGGGGCTGGGGGAGGGCGGGGCGTCTCACCACAGCTCTGGTATCCTGCCAGGTTTTCACGCCTGCCAAGGTGGGGCTCCGTGCCCTGGCCACTCAGGCCAGAGGCAGGACACTGACCACACGGGCAGCCTGAGGGCCTGGTCTCACTGCTGGCTGGACCAGGAGTTCCACAGGCATCCCAAGATGCTTCCATGCACTTGGCCGGGCTCAGGCAGCTGCCATGAGCGATTGAGAAAGGCCGAGCCCTGCGTTGCCATGGCTGGCCTTGTGCGTGGAGACCGCTCTCTGCCAGCAGCAGCTTTGTGGCTCTCCCTCTCTGCCTGTGTGCTTCAGGATGTCCACTCCCCAGACATGCTCCCTGAGGGCGCAGGGCCTGTGGGCCCCTCCAGGAGCAGGGCCAAGCCCAGGGCCACGTTGGATGAGCTGCTGGACACACTGAGGCTGCTGGAGGAAGAGCCTGAGCCGCTGCCCCGCCCCAAGCCCTACCACAAGGACAAATACTCCTGGATTGACGAGGTAACTGGGCACCTCACTCCTCATTTTAATTAAGACCCTGGCAAGGGCCAGAGAGGGCACTGACCTGGCCTGTCCCTCCCTGAGGTGACCGTGGTGCATGCCCCCTGACAGTGGAGCCCGAAGCCCCTGGAGAAGGCCTGTCCCTAGCTGCCCTCTCCCGCCCGCTCCACCACAAACCGATGACAATCTGTTTCTTGAGGTTGGGGAAATTGGCATTTATTTCACTGAATAGGTTCTCAGTGCCGTTAGTTTTACTTTCTTCTTCCTCATCTATCCCTATAATTTAGAGCTTTGATTTTTACTTTTTTTTTGGACAGAACTCAAGAGTTCTTGAACGTCCCTTTGGTATCTTCCAGTGGTTTCTTAAGGTCTTGGATCTAATTCCTCTGCTTTACCTTCAACTTCTTACACCTGCAGGAGGAGGATGCCAGCTCCCTGACTGCTGACAACCTGGAGAAATTCGGGAAACTCAGCGCGCCCCCCGCCCCGCTGGAGGATGGGGTGCTGCTCTCCGAGGCCAAGCTGCAGAGCATCATGAGCTTCCTGGAGGAGATGGAGGCGTCCACACAGGACCGGCCAGCCCCCCAACGGGAGGTGCCACATGCCAGGCCCTGCTGGTCCCAGGCGGGAGGTGCCACGTGCCAGGCCCTCAGTGGGGAGAGGTCTCTTGCCAGGTCTCTGAAGCTCCAGCTCTACTCTGGGCTCGGGCAGGGCCAGCTTGTCCCGACCCAGACTCCTGTCTGGATGCTCACCTCAGGGTCTCCATAAGCTGCCCAGGTTGATGGTCCTGGCATCGTGGGCCAGCCCTGGTGTCTTCCAAGCTGGGTCCTGCCTGTTAACCCTGGCAGAGCGGCTGTGACCGGGCCTTGTGGAATGATCACTGGTTCTGTTAGATAGGCAGACATGATGTTTTTGGAGGTCTGTGCTGGTAATGGAGGCACTGTCCTCCTCCAGCACTGAATGATACAAGTGGTCTCCGTTGGGGTGACCTGTCCACTACCCAGCATGCCTCACGTCTGACCAAATGTGCTGAGTGTCACCGGAGGGCAGGCAGCCACCTCCACCAGGCAGGCAGTCGGTGTGGGCTGCCTCCCTGAGCCTCGCCGTGTCCCGTGTCCTCAGGGCCGGACACAGGAGGCGGGGCGGGGCCGCTCGGAGCTAGCCTCAGAGGGGAGCGTCTCCATCATGCGGCTGAAGCTGGAGGTGGAGGAGAAGAAGCAGGCCCTGCTGCTGCTGCAGAGAGCGCTGGTGAGGGAAATGGCACCGTTAACACCATCAGCCTGGCGGGTGCCCTGCCAGCACCGAGCCCGCGCGGCCTGGGCCGCCACGTTGTCCCCAAGGCTGTCTTGGCCCTGGGCCTCCGGTGAGATCCCAGTGCCAGTGCCGCCCTCCCGTGTGTGCCCTGCGCAGGCCCAGCAGCGGGACCTCACCCTCCGGAGGGTCAAGGAGACCGAGAAGGAGCTGAGCCGGCAGCTGCGGCAGCAGAAGGAGCACTACGAGGCCACCATCCAGCGACACCTGTCCTTCATCGACCAGGTGACTCCTGAGCTCCATGGGGGCCATGGGCATTGGGGACCAGGGGCCAGCTTCATACTTGGCACGCATCACGCCGACTTCCAGCGCCAGGGTCTTCCACACTGTGTTGTCCCGCTTTACACAGTGCTGCCTGCAGGGTGGTGCACAGGGCCGCCAGCCACCGCTGGCCCCGTGAGGCCGACCATGGCAGTGCATAGAGCTTGGCCAGCAGGTCCCTTGGGTTCTGCCGCTGGCTGGCCCAGCAGGCGGCTCGCTGGGAACCCATTCCGAACCTTCCCTGAGCTATATGTGGCCATCTGTGCCAAGGGAAGCCACTCCTGGCCTGCTGGCAGCCTGGGCTCCCCCAGTAAGAATGGTGGAAGTTTCTAAACTGCCTGGGCCTCACAGGCCCCCTGGTCAGTCCACAGAGAACACTTGGCCTGGAGTTTGGCTTCTGGTGGCTACTGGTAGCCCAGGTCAGTCCAATCCTGGTGTCTGGCCTGCGGCCCTCAGACGGGGCTTGCAGCCGGCTCTCCCTACCCCTGGCAGGCGGTGGACTCCTGCAGGCCAGGTGGCTGTGGGTGACCAAGTGATTCTCATCCGAGGAGGATCTTGGTGGTGTCACCACAGGGGCCGAGGCCACATGGCCCCTGGAGCCCTGTGCCCACACGCACTCAGGCGGGAACCTGTGCCCATGAGCGCTCAGGCTTCCTGCTGGCCTCAGGGTCCAGCCACAGACCCAGGCAGGGTGTGCCCCCGGAGGGCCTCGTGTTGGGGTTCCTGCCCAAATGGGATGGCCCTGGGAGGGCCTCGTGTTGGGTTGGGGGGCTCTAAAGCCCCCCCTCCCTCTGCTGCCACAGCTGATCGAAGACAAGAAGGTGCTGAGCGAGAAGTGCGAGGCGGTGGTGGCAGAGCTGAGGCAGGGCGACCAGCGGTGCCGGGAGCGTGTGGCGCAGATGCAGGAGCAGCACGAGCTGGTGAGGCGCCCGCTGGGCGTTGTGCTTCCCGCACAGCCAGGCAGGAGACCCCAGGACCAGGCAGGACTGGGGTCCTCAGCCCACCTTAGGGCCCGAAGACGCAGGTGGGGCCTCCCCGGTGTCCTCTCCTGCTCCTCCTCTCCCGAGGTGCATCCAGGTGTCCAGCAGAGCCAGGCCATCGTGAGCCTCATGTGGGGTCACCTGCCCCTTACAACGGGGCAGGGCTGTGGACCCACAGCGGGGGAAAAGGCAGGTCAGCAGTTCATCTGCCTTCTATGCATCCCACCAGCATGGACCTGTCAGTCTCGAGCCTGCCTCTGACCAGAGATGGAGGCCAGACCCTGGGCGGGGGTGTCCAGCACTGTTTAAGGCCCTCCCTCCCCTGCCCAGTACCTGGAGCTGAGGACTGCAGCCACTTGGGAAACCAGGGCTGTTGCTGGTGTTGCTGGTGTCAGGCTGGGCGCCCCTCTTGGGGCTGGACCCCTGCAGGCTGGGTCCCCAGGGGTCTCAGGCAGTGAGCTAGACTCTCACCCTTCCGTGTGACCTTGGCCTCTAGGAGGCTGAAAGCTCTCTGGAGCCGAAGCTGCGTACGCAAGGAGCAGGGGCCTCCTCACTCACACCTGTGCTCTTGCTCCTAGGAGATTAAGAAGCTCAAAGAACTCATGAGCGCCACGGAGAAGGTGCGCAGGGAGAAGTGGATCAATGAAAAAACCAAAAAGATCAAGGAGATCACCGTGCGAGGTGGGGCCTCCTGCGCGCCTGGGCGCTGTGGAGAGGGCGGGAGCATGCACTGTGCCACTGTGCCCAAACCTTCCTGAGCGAGGCTCCGCCTCAGCCGCCGACCCCACCCCAGCTGGGGGCTTCTGGGCCGCAGAGGTGGGAGCAGGGGTGGGGAGGGGGGACTGGGGCCTCTCAGTGCCTTGGCTGGTGGTGGTTCCGGTCCACTGACCCCCGGGGTCCTTGACGCCCCTACCGGGTGGCACCAGGGCAGGGTGTCTGGGTGGGGCTGGGGGAGTCTCCACACGAACACAGGCGCAGCTGGGCTTTGGGCCGGTCCCCCCAGGCCTGGAACCCGAGATCCAGAAGCTGATCGCCAAGCACAAGCAGGAGGTGAGGAAGCTGAGGGACCTGCACGAGGCCGAGCTGCTGCGGCGCGAGGAGCAGGCCGCCCAGCGCCACCTGCGCCAGGCGGAGGAGCTGCGGGAGCATTTGGAGCAGGAGAAGGAGGCGCTGGGTCAGCAGGAGCGGGCCCGCGCCCAGCAGCGGTGGGTATCGGCCGGGGTGGGGAGGGCCGGGCAGATGGGGCAGAGCTCTCGGCTGCTTTGATGCCTCCTTCTGGCCGTGTCAGGGTCTCTGCCCAGCTTTGGGGGCACATGGGAGGCTGTGGTGTGTCCCACCACTGGGCCCATGCCAGGACTTCCTCCTTGTGGCTTGTGGCTATCCTTAGCCGTCTAGACTTGGAGTGGCAGCAGCACGGAGAACCGCACACTGCTGGGGACAGCGCATTCCTTCTTTCCCTCAGTCTCGGAGGGGAGCTCAGCCCAGCACCATTGTGGGGGTACTGGGCTGTGCCTTCAAACCCTGGGACTGGGGGCCAGGGGCCAATGACCACTGGACACCCCCTTGTATGGCAGTGTCCCCGGGGCAGTGCCCTGTCGGCAGGGGTGGGCCGGGCTAGCCCAGGTGAAGTAGAGCGGGCGCTGTGGCAGGTGTTGGGGCAGGGCTAGCCCAGGTGGAGTGCAGCGGTCTCTGGCAGGTGTTGTGGCAGGGCTAGCCCAGGTGGAGTGGGGCGGTCTCTGGCAGGTGTTGGGGCGATGCTGGAAGGTGGGGCCAAGTGCAGACACTGGGCACTAGGCTGGGGAGGCAGCAGCTGGCGTGAGGGTCGCCGTGGCCTGGCCGGCCTGGGCACTGGGGGCTGAGTGCTGTGGGGAGGGTGGCAGCGGCGATGGCTGGCCCTGCGCCACAGCCGAGCGTCGGGCACTGTCTCCGTCATCCCCAGGTTTGAGCAGCACCTGGAGCAGGAGCAGCGAGCCCTGGAGCAGCAGCGGCGCCGGCTGTACAGCGAGGTGGCCGAGGAGCGGGAGCGGCTGGGCCAGCAGGCAGCCAGGTGCCGCCTGGGGTTACTGTCCCCCACATGCACATACGCAGTGCCCCGCATGCCCACCCCGGGCCCGCTGACCCTCGGCTGGCCCACAGGCAGCGGACGGAAATGGAGGAGCTGCGGCAGCAGCTGGAGGAGAGAAGTGCGGCACTGACCAGAGCTCTGCGGGCTGAGTTTGAGAAGGGCCAGCAGGAGCAGGAGCAGCAGCACCAGGTCCCCCCCTCCCGCCCCCTGCGTTTCCTCCAGAATGGGCCACTGCTCTGCCTGGCCCCAGCTCCCTTGGCCACACTTGGGTAGGGCCTGGGGTGGGGTGGGGCAGCTCACGCCCTGTCCCCTACAGATGGAGCTGAAGGCCCTGAAGGACCAACTGGAGGTAGAGAGACAAGCGTGGGTGGCCAGCTGCGCCAAGAAGGAGGTAGGGCCGCGCGAGGGTGGGCTCCAAGTCCGGGGCCTCCGGGGGCTGCTTTGGCTCAAGCCACGAGCCGCAAGGCTCTGAGAAGGGTAGAGTTGGGAAGAGGAGGGCACAGGGCTGTGCCGGAGATCGGGGCAGACGTTGTGAGGGACCGCTGCCTGGGCTGCTGCTGTCTCCCTTGGGAATTTTCAAACCATGTCCAAGAGGCCCATGATGCCCGTCCTTGGCTGATGAAGCAGTCGGGCTAGTTCCAGACCCAGACAGTGCCGTCTGCTTATCTAGCGCCATGCTAATGACCTGGCTGGGGCCCTCCCTGCCCACAGGTCACCTCATGCCCCTGTGCCCAAACCAGGTTCTGAAGACTGCCTGGAAGGCTGGGGCTGGGCACACCGCCTTTGTCCCTTCAGATCTGTGCGTCTCTCTGGGGCTCAGGGCAGAGACCCCTCCTTCCCAGGAGCCCATGTGGCTGCCTGTGTCCTCAGTTTCCCCATTTGCACCCCACGCTGTGTGTCCCCACAGGAAGCTTGGCAGCTGAACCGGGAACGAGAGCTGAAGGAGGAGCTCCGGAAGGGCCGAGACCAGGAGATCGAGCTGGTCATCCATCGGCTAGAGGCCGACATGACACTGGCCAAGGAGGAGAGCGAGAGGGCAGCGGAGAGCCGGTGAGCTCCCCCTGCCCCCCAGCCATCGTGCACACGCGCAGGGGAGCGGTCCAGCCCCAGAGGAGGGGGGGGCCGGGCCGCAGCCCCAGGGGAGGGGGGCTGGGCCGCAGCACCAAGGGCTCAGCTCACCACGCAGGGGCTGTTCTGCCCCTCGCCCACCAGGGTCAAGCGCGTGCGGGACAAGTATGAGACTGAGCTCTCAGAGCTGGAGAAGTCGGAGCGGAAGCTTCAGGAGCGGTGCTCGGAGCTGAAAGGGCGGCTGGTGGAGGCCGAGGGGGAGAAGGAGCGGCTGCAGGCCCTGGTGCGGAAGAAGGAGAAGGAGCTGGAGGAAGCACAGGCCGTACGGCCCCGGCCCCTCCCCTGCCCAGAGCCCACCACGGTGTTGGCCCTGCCCTCTGGCCCGTTCACCGTCCCTTCTGCCACCAGGTGAACGCTCAGCTCTCAGGTGAGCGCAACAACCTCACCCAGGTGGTCCGCCAGGAGTTTGCTGACCGGCTGGCGGCCTCGGAGGAGGAGAAGCAGCAGGTCAGGGCAGAGCTGGCTGAGCTGCGAGCCCGTCAGCAGCTGGAGCTGGACGAGGTGCACCGGAGGTGGGTGGCTGGAGCCCGGGGAGGGGTGGAGGGTGCAGAGAGGGGGGCCGGGTCCTTCCTTCCCATCACACAGCGGGCCCGTGGGTGGTGTCTGGTGTGGGTTCCAGACTTGTTCCTGGCAAGGCTGAGCTGGCTCCCCGGTCCCCGAGGGCTGGCTCTGCGCTTGCCCAGGGAGCACCAAGTCAGTTGGATCTGAGGAGGCCGCCATGTGGGCCTCCGTGGCCCTCGGGAAAGAGATCTGGGTGGAGTCCTTGTATTGTGTCCTGTGTGTGCCCCAGACGGGCAGGCAGGGCCCCACCCTGCAGCGTGACCCCGCATGGGCCTCCGCCACTGCCCTGGGCTCTGGCCCCCTGGGGATGGTGGTGGTGGTGCGCGGCCTCGGGCTGGCTGGGCCCAGCCGAAGCCCCGCTGTGCTGCCACAGGGTGAAGGCTGCCCTGGCCAAGAAGGAGGAGGCGGTGAACAGTCTCCGGAGACAGCACGAGGTGGGTGTGTGCCCGCGCCCTGCTCCCAGCCCGCCACGGCGGGGGCCGCCCAGGCCTGACCCTGGCGTGTGCCGCAGGCCGCAGTGAAGAGGGCTGACCACCTGGAGGAGCTGCTGGAGCGGCACCGGCGGCCGCTGAACGCCAGGTGACGCTGCGGCACAGACACCGGGCGGAAGTGGACGCCTGCCCGGGGATGGGTGTCGGGGCCATCTCCCCCCACGGCGGGGCTGGGGCTTCCCTCCTGCTCAGGACGCTGCTGTCCGCATGCCCGCAGCTGCGCTTCGGTTCAGTTTTGTTTTTAATAAGTAAAATGTCATTGTTTCTTAGTATTGTGTCACCTGCCTTCTCTTTTTTCCCTGGGCTGGGACAGGGTGGTGGGTGGGACTGCAGGGCTGAGGGCCCCACAGGATGACCAGGCCGAGGCTCTGGCCTGCAGTACTGGACTGGACCTGGCTCCTACCTGCCCAGGGCCAGAAAGCAGTGGGAGCCAGCAGCCCCTGCCTCTGCCCTATGGCTTTCCCTGCCTCACCCCTGAGGCCCCTTAGACCAAGTGGATGCAGGGCGCATCGCCACACTGTGCGCCCTCCACTGTGGGACTCCAGGGGCAGTGGGCGCCCATCCAGAGACCCCCTACCCAAGGGGCCAGCAGGCTCTGCAGAAATGGGGGCACCTGCGGGGCCGGCGGCTGATGGGGAGCAGTTGCGCCCTCCTCCCACGTGGGGGTTGGTTGAGCTGCCGCCCAATGCAGCCTGGCCTGAAGGCCGCCCCGAGCCCATCTCCCGTCTACCACCGGGCACGCAGCTGCTGCTCGTCCCTCCCAGACCCTGCACCAAGCAGGCGCCCAGCTCCTCTGCCCCTGCTCTGGCCCTGCCCGGAGGAAAGCTGGCATGGCTCCTGCCCTCAAGACAGCTACTGAGGATCTGAGGATCCAGGTTCAAAGCCAGCCCGGCAGGAAACCACCAGAAAACCGGAAGTGGCACTGTGGCTCAAGTGGTTAGAACACTCTCCTTGAGCTGAAGAGCTGAGGGATAGCGCCCAGGCCCAGAGTTCAGGCCCCACAACCGACCAACTCTCCCCCACCCCACCCCCCAAAAAAGACAGCATCTGTGACCACAGAGGCAGCATCTTCCCCTCCCCGGCGCAGCACACGGCAGGGCCTCTGCTCACGACCCAAGCCGGGAGCAGGAGCCCAGGATCTCAGGTAAGGAAGACAGACCAGCCTCCACTCCATGGAGTCTGTGAGGGCACGTGCGCGTGAGGCCCAGGCCGAGTGCAAGGGCTGTGTAAGAGCCACAGAGGCACGCCGGCATCACAGAGCCGTGACTAGATGCAGCTGGGCCCAGGTCCACGGGCAGGGCAGGGCAGGGCAGGGCAGGGCAGCAGGGGTGTCACCCACAGCCTTCCCTCCCCGCCCGCCCCGCCTGCAGCTGCTCCCCTCTGAGCCAGTCCTACGGGCGCCTGCAGCCAGCCTGGTGTGCGGGGAGGGGTTGAGCAGGCGAGGGGGGGAGAGGGGGAAGGGGGCAGCTAAGGGTCTCAGCCCTCATTAGCTGTCGAATGGTGGGGGGGGGGTAATGACCAGTTGCTAAACTAAGGCATTTTTGCAAGTGAGGTATTGAGCGGATGGATACGTAGGAGGACTTCTGCAGAGACGGGGCACCAGTGGAGACCAGCGGTGGCCTCCAGAGGAACTCACTGAGTGCGTGCTGTGCAAGCTCCTGTTGGGTCATTCCTTCCTCCTGCCTGAGCTCAGGCCTTCGTGCTTTCGTGACTCTCATCAGTTCCTCCGTTGCTTCCTCCATGGCTCACCCGTTCCTCAGCTCGCTGGTTCCTGGCTCAGCATGTACCAGGTGACCCACTCACACACGTGCCTGCTGGCACCCCGTCTCCTTGCGGTGGGTTGGTTTGCAGTGCAGGAACTCCAACCCAGGACCTTACACTTGCTAGGCGAGCATTCTACTGCTTGAGCCACGTCCCTAGTCTATTTTTGTTTGGTTTTTGAGATAGAGTCTTGTTAACTGCCCAGGCTGGCTCTGGTGTGTCTCACCAGACCTAGGAGGTAATTTTTTTTTTTTTTTGTCTGTCATGGGGCTTGAACTCTGGGCCTGGGTGCTGTCCCTCAGCTCTTCAGCTCAAGGCGAGCGCTCTACCACTTGAGCCACAGCGCCACTTCCGGTTTTCTAGTGGTTTATTGAAGCTAGGAGTCTCACGGTCTCTCCTGCCCGGGCTGGCTTTGAACCTCGATCCTCAGATCTCAGCCTCCTGAGTAGCTGGGATTACAGGCGTGAGCCCACCGGTGCCCGGCTTAGGAGGTAATTTTTTGTGTCCATGTGTGCCAGTCCTAGGGCTTGAACTCAGGGCATTCCCTGAGCTTTTTTACTCAAGTCTGGTACTCTCCCACTTGAGCCACAGCTCTACTTATTGCTTTTTTTGGGGGAGGGGGGGAGTCCAGTCATGGGGCCTGAACTCTGGGCCTGGGCGCTGTCCCTCAGCAATTCAGCTCAAGGCGAGCGCTCTACCACTTGAGCCACAGCACCACTTCTGGCTTTTTTTTTTCTGCTTATGTGGTGCTGAGGAATCGAACCCAGGGCCTCAGGCATGCAAGGCAAGCGCTCTACCACTGAGCCACCTTCCCAGCCCCTCTTGCTTTTTGGAGGAAGGAATCTGACAAACTTTCCTGCCCAGGCTGGCTTTGAAGTGCAATTCTCAGCTCTCAGCCGCCTGAGAATCCAGGATCACAGGCGAGAGTCCCTGGTGCCCCGCTTGTATTTTGTTTTTGAGTCAGGGTCTTGATAGCTTTGCCCCGTCCCCCTTCTGAATAGCTGGAACAACAGGTGTGGAGCACCACAAACCTTCCTGTCCCAAGCGCTGGCGTCTGCACTTGAGGCCATTGTACATGCGCGCGCACAGATCCGCTGTGAGTCTTCATTATTACACACCTGGAAGTGCTTCCTGCAGCCTCTCCTTGGTCTGAGAGTCCCAAGCCACCCCAGCTTGCTCTCCTTAATGTTGGCATGGGGTTCCCTTTTCCTTTTTATTTGAGTCAGGCGAGAGTAGCTCAGACCACTGCACAGTGTGGGCATCACATGTGGCTCTTGGGTCTGGCAGGTAGTTAGGCGGGGGCGAGCTGGCTGTGAAAACGGCCTGTGGTCGGAGGCCCGGCTGGCTCCTCCCCCCAGAGGAGCTGTAGCCAGCCGAAGCTCCCTCCCAGCAGGAACTGAGGCCGGGGGGTGCCCGGACCCTCCACGGCTCTTCAGATCCTGGGCGTCGTGACTGGAATGTGTGTGGCAGGGAGCCGCGGGCCATCTGTGCGCTCCCTTTTCTGATAACCCCAAGTCCTTGGTGCTTGGCTGGCTCATAAAAAAAAGAGAAGCAGCTGGAGACCACTGGTTCCTACCCATAATCTGAGCTACTCATTGGGAAGATGGCAGTTCCAGGCTAGCCTGGGCAGAAAAGTCTGCCAGACTCCATTTCCTCAGAGAGAGGCTGACGCGGTGGCCATGTCTGCAAGCCCAGCACTGCGGGAAGTCTTGAGTAGGCAGTTTGAGGTCCAGGTGCAAACTTGGGCGGGCTCGAAATCCCATGCTAAAAAAAATAGCCAGAGCTGGAGGTTTGGCTCTGTGGTATTGCATCAGCCTAGCAAGGGCAAGGCTCAGAGTTCAAGTCCCAGTACTGCAAAAGGCAAAAAACAACCACCTCTAAAGGCCAGTATTCTCGTTGGTAGGGGAAAGAGCAGGGCCAGGAGGGTTCAGACCCCAGGGATAGCCCGCGGGAGTGAGTGCGTGCATTGAGTGGGCGGTGGTGTTGGAGAAGAGGGGGCTCCACAGAGCTAAGGGTCGGGCCAGGCTGGGGGCACAGTGGTGCAGATGCCCTTGTGGCCCCTCACTTCCCATGGGCAGTACCAAGGTGCCCTCACCTGTCACTCAAACACTACCCCTAGGACAAGCAGGCTGGAGAGGGCCTGGGGCGGGGGTGGAGGGGGTGGAAGGGGAGGGGAGGGAGGGGAGGGCAGGGAGCCCGGCACAGAGCAGCCACCGGCTGGGTAAGCAGCGAGCATGGGCAGTACAGAGACCCAAGAAGTGTGCCCAGGGCCTGCGGGGAAAGCTTGGGAGCCGAGAGTGTCTGGGGGAGATGAGCATGGAGGAGGCAAGCCAAGAGCAGAGCCCAGAAGCCGAGGGCACAGGAGCTTCTGGAAGCTGCCCGCGAGGACTGAGGCACTATGCCTCTCAGGACACCTGCCTGGCGACCCTGCGGCCTCGTCCGGGTAGCAGCTCTGTGCCAGTGTGTAGAGCAGGGGTGGGGGGAGCAGGTGTCTGGGCAGGCCCGCAGAGGTGGGGGCCAGGGGTGGGAGGAGGGGCCGATGCACACCGTTGCCTGCTGCTGCTGTGTGTCTCCCGGGACCCTCCCGCGCCCACCCCAGCTCACCCGCAAACACACGGGGCGCCGGCGCTCCCGTGAGCCATTTCTCTTCTGCTTCCTGGCACAGGCTGCATCTACCCCACGGCCTCCTGGAACTGGCGCAGGTGCGTCCGCTCAGGTCCGCATTCGGCCTTGGGAATTGACCTGGCAGGTCCTGCCCTCCACAGGCCTCCTGGCCACCCCGCCTTTGTCAGCACGCCACTCTTGGTCAGCCGCTCCTCCTTTGTGTATGTGTATATGTTTGCATGTACGTGTGTATGGACGTGTTCATTTGCATGTTTGTATCTGTATATGTGTGTTCACATGCATGCATGTATATGTGTGTGTGTATGTGCTAGAACTGAGGCTTGAACTCAGAGCCTGGGCACATCCCTGAGCTTTTTCTCTCAAGGCTTAGAGTTCACCACTTGAGCCACAGAGTCACTTCCAGCTTTTTGGTGGTTAATCAGAGATCAAGAATCTCACAGACTAGCCGGGCGCCAGTGGCTCACACCTATAACCCTAGCTACTCAGGAGGCTGAGATCTGAGGCTTGTGGTTCAAAGCCAGACCAGGCAGGAAAGTCTGTGAGTCTCTGATCTCCAATAAATCACCAGAAAACCAGAAGTGGCGCTGTGACTCAAGTGGTAGAATGCTCCCCTTGAGTTGAAGAGCTGAGGGACAGTGCCCAGGCCCAGAGTTCAAGCCCCACAACTGACAAAAAAAAAAAAAAGATCTTCCTACCTGCGCTGGCATGGAATTGGGATCCTCAGATCTCAGCCTCCAGAGGAGTACAGCTGTGGCCACCGGCACCCAGCTAGCTGCTTCTCCTTCAACCTTCGTGGCCACTGCGTGTGACGAGGCTCTGGCGGTGGGAACGAGTCTGCTCAGCTGGGCGGTGCAGCTGGGGCTCTAGCCTGTGGGCGCTTTTC